TCCATTTATTTTTTTTTAATTTCTGCATTAGAATCTTTAGTCCCAGTGAGGTGAGATAGGCATTTCCTATTGCCTGTTGTCATGGTGACTCGTCAAATCAGTGCTCCACTGATAATGGCTTTTCATGCTTTTTACGCACGTGTTAAACTCTAAATGAAACTACTTAGAGTAGATTAAACTTATTCACAGCAGCTGTTGTGAAACTGAAAACTCTGAGTTCCCGACATTAGGCTAGATCAATCTAGAGTTGCCAATTTGAGTTTGTTAAACCTGCTTCATGAAACGGACCCCTGCACTTTATGTCTGCGCAAAGTCATGGCAAACACAAAAACGGTTTGAATCAGAGGCAACCAGAATGTCCCTCAGTTTTTCAAAATTAAACACCTGTATAGGACTTTTTGTCAATTCTGGCATCTTGCATTAGCAAAACCAGTAATGGAAGGCTGATTTTTAAAAGCTCCTGGTGGCTCATTCACATTCAGAAAAACTGAGCCAAATGGGTACAGTTGTGTCCCATTTAAACTTCTTAAGAGGTCTGAATTTTAGATTTGTCAAAAAACCAAAGTCTAACAGGATTGTAAAATCATGTGATCATGTAAATAGCATGGAGCATAAGAATATAATCATTCTACATTTAGCTGAGCCATTTAGGTCCAAAGAAGGCAACATTTTCTCTCTGCTTTCACTGAAATTCCCGTAGTAGACTAAGGAGTTTTATGCTGTGGTGTAGTTTTTCCATATATATTTCCAGCTCTGATGAAACCCAAACTATTTAAATTGTCATAAAAACAGAATAAAACGAAGTGTTGATCAGTTTATATCTCCAAAACACCTTTAATGTTCCACTCTGATAATTTAGGCCTCTGTGTTTTCATAGCAAACCTATATTAAAGGAAGCATTTAGAATAGATATAACAGTTTAGGCTAAACTAAAGAAAATCTGTTATTGTTTTTGTTAATTCATTTTTTTGTTCTAATGGTAATCACCTGTTTGGACCACGAAAAATTCTTTTCAGTCCAAAGATCCTAGTTGTACTCACTCTATCTGGGCGTTCAGCACTCGGATAGTTCCATCTTTCCTCAAGGAGTAGTTTGCCTCGATGCATTTTCCTCTTGCAAACGATGTAGGAAGCTTCTCTATCTCATACCACTTGCCCAGGTACTGGTGACAGAAATAATGCCTTACTGCCTGGTAACTTATTGTTTATATGATCATCCACCACATTTTAGATGATTTACCTTCTCAAGTTGAAAGTTGGGCTGAACTGCTGGACTGGGACAGGGACCCCAGTGATAAGTCTGAGCTGAGATCAGCGGCAGCAGGAGGAGGACGAGATAAACTGCAGACATGGTTCCTGTGAGGGAAGAATAGACAAATATAAAAGTTGGATGTGTTTCATGTTTAAAGCAGCTGATTAATAAAACAATGTAGAGCTGACATGCATTATGGGTATTGTAGTCAGCATGTTTGGTGGCTGTTCTGGATTGGCAAATGAATGACATCCACCCATACATTGGTAACAGGTGAGGGTTGAAACCAGTAACCTGAAAAATCCACCTTCAACTCATTTGTCACTAACATTTTTGTTTTATTTAGATATATTTATGTAATTCATAAAAAAATACATTTTTAAAACGGCTAAATAAAAGAAGCAGATATCTTGTCCGCCGCCCTTAACACCAGTAGTTAAGCCATTAATATTTACATAATAAATAAAGTATGTGAACATTTTTCAAGTTTCACCTTTTATTTCATTTCTAATACTAAACATAAAGCTCAAAATAATCAAATTGTCTTATCTTTTCTTAGCATTGTGTATCTTAACATGTTTTAAAACTCTATAATTGATTTAGCTTTTTTAATCTTTCTCCAAACTGTTTCCTAAACTGACTACATACACAGAAACACATCAAACCAATACTTTAGTTCTGAACTTTGATTTTACCTTTATTTCAAATCCTTTTAAATTATAATAACTTTTAATTTTTTTTAAAATATCTCCTAAATATTACTCAAGATGCTGTAATCAAGTAAATCATCAATGTTTAATGTTTGCATTTCAAGGAATAAAGGATTAGGTGGATCTCTTATTTAATTGCACTTGTCATGATGACATACAGTAAAAGTCACTGTGTTCACACCTACTGCACAATACTGCAGCGTGACGCACCATTCCTACAGTACAAAATGTCTCTTTATGTACTAAGGTGCAGCTTCTGCCACACAAGGTTAAATAAGACTTATGAATTACAAAACCAATGATGGTTATGAAAGCTGTTTGGTTGTTAATTTTCTTTGCATTTGACTTGTTAGTATTTTATTAACGCGCTGTTTGTAACCATAACAGTTGCTGATGACAAACAGAAAATTCATGCTCTTTTTGTGCATTGTGGTAACTATGGGAGTCATTTCATCATCTGTGAGTCTTCTATATAATGAGAGAGTGACACAGACACTATGGCTCAGTTCATTAAAAGAAACCTAAGATGAGTTTTTGTTGCTTCTTCAGTGAACAATGGTCTCAGACTAGCCGCCCAAGGGGAAATTTTGTTGCTCCATCTAAATTCAGCTTTCTTTTTAATAGATGGAGCAAGTTTGTCTTATTAAGGGAATTATTTTTGGAACGGATTCATTCTGTGTTCGTAGAAACAACCACCTCGATCAAGTTTATTACCTTAACAGGTTTTACTGGTCATCCAACCCATTAACATCTAGATCACTTCAAGTTTCCTACCGTAATGGAAGAAAACAACCCTTGCATACCTGACAAAGTTCACATTCAAACACACATTGGGTTGATTAAACTTGTTATGGTTGACTTTGGGTTCATGGTTGTGCTGATTGATGGAATAAGGGAAAAAACATCCTCTCTATTCTACAGGCAGTGTTATCCACTCCTCTTTTGTCTTGTTTGACTGCATACATAAAGTAGCCACACCTGTTCTTCAGGTTTGAGGCACTGCTTTGGGTTAAATACACCTGCAGTGTGCTGACATTAAGCTCATTAGAAAACATGTTTTTTAATGATGTTTAAAAGGACTTCAAGGCTATATGTGTTAAATTACATATATGAAAACCATTAGAACAGAAAATCTGTTTAACCAGACAAATAAAAAAAATAAAAATAAAAAACAATAGATAAACATTTAAAGATTTGTAAAATAAAGACTTTTTCTTCTCTGTGCTGCATTTTAAAGAAATATCAGAGAAAAATGTTCTTACTTGTAGGGTGTGAAGCTGTTCAGTGGAGGTTTGCAGCTGTGATTTCAGTCAGTCTGACTCCTCTGCTCTTTCCGTCAACACTGACTCCTGTTTGTCTTGTTATAGGGGCGGGAAGCTAATTGTTTTCATGCGCACATTCCCTCACTGAAGGAGTGCTGAATCAGTGAGGAGATAAACAGTTGTTCCCATTCATATCTCATAATGTTGCCGGTACATTGTGTCCTATTGGAGTCGAATTAAATCTCTATTTATCGCATTATCTATGTTGGATTATATTAGAGCTAATAGACACAGAACTGAGGGTTAAACATAACAGAATTCAACCTTAACTTTAGATGCTTTTTAGGATTATTCTTACTGATGATGTGTGATTTTGTTACACCCGAATATTACCTTCATATTGTGTGTCAGAACTAATGTTTCCCCAAGTAGTTTATCTAATCGGACAGTTCCTCTGTCCATCTATAGTTATCATCTTTATTGTGTAGGTGGCAAAGATTTGGGAATGGAAGAATGAACAATGATGCAATGATGGGATGCAAGGGCGTAGGTTTGATTTGAACTTTGGTAGGG